TGTTTCTTATAAACCTTCGTCAGGAGGAACTCTCGGCAAGAAACTTTTGTTTTTAACAGGCCTCTCACGAGCCAGTGAGGAACATTTATTGTTCAACAAAAAAAAACTACCCAATCCGAGTTTTCATAATTTTTTGGACATTTTTATTGGCTAAAAAAGTAGGAATTTCCCGCATTATTTTAGCGTTGGGGCTGCGAAAAGTGATTTTAAGAGGAAAGGTGACTGAAATCCGTCAGCGCATCACGAGCTTAAAGGCCAAGAACAAGAAGCATGGAAGTCTCCAAATGACACTCAGAGGAATTCAGGAACCGTTTAGAACCACCTTGGTAGATATTGTGCAGCAAACCGAGTACAATATTATGCCTGTCGCTGCTTTCAAAGTGTTTTTGTCTGCTCATCCTACTGCTGACTACCGTGATGCTTCGACCTTCCCTACCCAATTGAAAGCTAAACATAAAAAGGTGATAACAGACGTATAAAAGGTTGGCAATTGTTTAATTAATGATGCTGAGAATGTGGCTTTATATGATATATACTGAATTTACTCCCAGCGAGTAGACCTAGCATGGAGGATGCTGTATTTCACTAAAAATTTATCAATTGACAAATGAAAACTTGTCTCGAAAAGATACGTCCAAAACCACCCTCTTTGGGAGTTTCCGGATTGAACTTATTGTCGTGTAAAGGGACGTGTTAGGGGACGTGTTAAGCTCGGGTTATATTTTTATTGTGTTTCAATATGAAATAAGATAATTAATTGCTTTACATTAGGACCGACATTTTGGGGAGTATTTTGTCATGGTTATTTTCTTACATTGTACAATACTGTTTTTATGATGTTAAAACCAGAAATAAACAAATTTATTCTTTATTTTTAGTTTGTTTTTTTCTTTACAATATTTCAGTTTTGTACTTAAATGCATAATAAAAAAAGTTTATTTCAAAGCGCCCCCTGGTGGATACTCGGTAAATCTGTGGGATTTTAGTGCCAAAAATCGGGTTTCGATATAAACGGTGAGCAGAGCACAAATAACCTATTGTGTAGCTTTCCGCATAACAACAAATAAACAAACAAGCTTTCGTAGGAAGATACTAGCTAGACAACTAAGCATAACTTAGGCCTAACTATGTATCTGATAACGGAACAACATCAGTATGTTGAACAATACTGAAGACGTTAACGGTTCGCCCTGTTGACAGTTCTGGAGAGACCTTCAATGAACGTTTTCCTTTCCAGTACTTATTGGAGATATCTTTCATAAAGCAGACGATTGTTTGAAAAACACCGATGAAAGAAATGCCCAGCCACAGACCAAGTTGACCTCCAAGGTTAATTAAAACGTCCTGGATCTAGCAGGAAGATACAAGTCAAGGTTAAAACTTTTATTCACAGTTAGAGGAGCAATAAAACTTGGAATCAGAGAACATAAAGGTTATTTGGTAAAACGTATGAAACTGACAGTTACACACATCAGACACGTTTTAACCAATCTACGTTTAAAACAACAACAGTACACAAATATTAGGAGAAAATATGGTGTTTGTTATTCTTCGGTATCAAGAATTACCTACATTACTGTCATGACTGTCCTAAAGTAATGTAGGTAATTCTTACAGTGACCCTAGGTGGTTGTCAGTAATGTAGGTAATTCTTACAGTGACCCTAGGTGGTTGTCTAGGACAGTTATGACTTATAACTGTCATAGACAACCACCTAAGGTCACTGTAAGAATAACCATACATTACTGTCATAACTGTCCTAGACAACTACCTAAGGTCACTGTAAGAATTACCTACATTACTGTCATAACTGTTCTAGACAAGTACCTAAGGTCTTCACATAGAATAATAATATATAGTGCCTATTATCAACTAAAATATGCACATTGCATGATATAATGTGTCCATGATTTAGGCTTTGTGCTAAGCTGAAATATGCACATAATATGATACATATAATACCCATGATCTAAGCTTTGCACTCCCTAAAAACAGGTAGGTTTTATATCATTATCATCTAAAGAACTCCTGAAGAGTTGTCCAGGATTTGAAACTGTAAACTGTTTTGACCAATGTTCCTTCTAACTGTTCCTATTCATGTGGGGAATGAACATTTTCATGTGCACCAGTAGCAAGGCAATGTTCGGATGTACGTTACCAGTTTTTTGTTATTTATAAGGAAGAGTGGTATTTTTAGACAGTCGGTCCTATTGGATCATTAGGCCGCTTTGCATTGCTACTAGTTGGTTATTTGGGCTTTAGGCCTATGAACTGCCAGGGTTATTAAGAACGTCTACATGTTGAGACTCCTCAACACTATTGGGGATGTGCGCGGCTGGAATAATAAAGTGCGCAGCACTTGATTGGCTGTTGTGTGGCCGCGCAGCTTAGAGGGAACACTGGTTTTTATTAATAATCAATGCTGATAACAGCTGCTTGATAAGGAATAAATAGACTCATACGTCACCTAGTGGTGACTCCTAAGGTCACCTGCCTGTTTGACAAGGGGCATGTAGACAGAGTGCAACCTAATACTTAACATAACGGACTGGAATTCTGAGTGCCCCTGTTGTGTGTGTGTGTGTTCTGTGTAATTAGCTGCTTCTGAATGTTACACCATCATGTGGAAGCAGCTAATTCCACGTTAATCACCCATCAACAAAGCAGCTAATTCCACGTTAATCACCCATCAACACACATGATGGTGTAACATTCAGAAGCAGCTAATTCCACGTTAATCACCCATCAACACACATGATGGTGTAACATTCACTGAATGTTACACCATCATGTTTGTTGATGGGTGATTAACGTGGAATTATCTGCTTCTGAATGTTACACCATCATGTTTGTTGATGGGTGATTAACGTAGAATTAGCTGCTTCTGAATGTTACACCATCATGTTTGTTGATGGGTGATTAACGTAGAATTAGCTGCTTCTGAATGTTACACCATCATGTAAGTTGATGGGTGATTAACGTGTAATTAGCTGCTTCTGAATGTTACACCACTATGTGTGTTGATGGGTGATTAACGTGGAATTAGCTGCTTCTGAATGTTACACCACTATGTGTGTTGGTGGGTGATTAACATGGAATTAGCTGCTTATGAATGTTACATCATCATGTGTGTTGATGGGTGATTAACGTGGAATTAGCTGCTTCTGAATGTTACACCACTATGTGTGTTGATGGGTGATTAACGTGGAATTAGCTGCTTCTGAATGTTACACCATCATGTAAGTTGATGGGTGATTAACGTGGAATTAGCTGCTTCTGAATGTTACACCATTATGTGTGTTGCTGGATGATTAACATGGAATTAGCTGCTTCTGAATGTTACACCACTATGTGTGTTGATGGGTGATTAACGTGGAATTAGCTGCTTCTGAATATTACACCATCATGTTTGTTGATGGGTGATTAACGTGGAATTAGCTGCTTCTAAATGTTATACCATCATGTGTGTTGATGGATGATTAACGTGGAATTAGCTGCTTCTGAATGTTACACTATCGTGTGTGTTGATGGATGATTAACATGGAATTAGCTGCTTCTGAATGTTACACCACTATGTGTGTTGATGGGTGATTAACGTGGAATTAGCTGCTTCTGAATATTACACCATCATGTTTGTTGATGGGTGATTAACGTGGAATTAGCTGCTTCTAAATGTTATACCATCATGTGTGTTGATGGATGA